TCATGAAAGAAGATCTAACTCTGGCAGACTCTTTTGCTTTAGCAGAGAAGCATGCACTTTGGGAGGAGGCTCGCCAATGCACATTCAAAGACTTGAAGAAGTACCCGACATCACCTCCCTAGAAGCAGCGGATGACTTATTCGCATGTTTGACGGTATCTAAAGTAGCAATAAGCTCTACCATCATGCGAGAAGAGCTGGGGGCCCGACTACCTGTATTCTACAGTTACCTGCAGTCATCATCATGACACACTATTCCGCCGAATCCAAACCGGCGACGATAAAGGCGTAGACCCTGGCAGATGCAAGTTTTTTTACGAACGTAACAACTCGGCCAACGATGCCCGAAGGCAGCCGAGCACACTTTAGCCACACCTGCTCCCTCAGTGGAGATTTCTGCGTTTGCATGTCGACGGCGCATCCAACTACAAAGGGCACGTGAGCAGCCGTGTTCTTGCCACCCAGACGTTTCAATGCCCAAAGCAGCGATCACTCTAAGCTTCAAAGCATCTAACAACGAAGCAGAGTACGAAGCCCCACTAACAGACCTTCGAATGACAAAAAACTTGGTGGTGAAAAAGCTTTCAATTCATTCCGAGTCCTAGCTAATCACCAGCCAGACTACTAGGGGCAAAAGCATGATGATCGTGGCAACCGACTACTTCACCAATAAGAAAAGAAAATGGCCAAACGAACTCCAAGGATGTCTATGGGCATATCGCACAACCAAAAGACGAGCAACCGAAAGGAGATGGCCACAAGCTTAGATCTGGCAGAAGAGATGCGCGAATAGACTATCACTCGCATCGCAGCCTACCAGCATCAGCTCCTCTCCAGTTACAACAAAAGGGCCAAGATCCGGCAGTTCCAGCCTGGAGATTTGGTCATAAGAAAAACCTTCATCACTGCCAGCGGAGAAGGCTCCAAAAAGATGGATCCCATCTGGGAAGGCCGGTACAAGATCAACAGAGTAGGCGGTAAGAGTAATTACATCTTCGCCACCATGAAACGACAAAAAGATCAAAAAGCAGTGGAACGCCTACAATATGAGGAAGTACCATGTGTGACCTCCCGCTACATCAAAGCCTGAAGACTCAAATAGCTCGACGGGCACCACCTCACAAATTGAGGACTATCCAGTTGTTATGCAGTTCCTACCTTACAGTTAAGTTCTCGTTCGTTTCACTCATTTTTCAATGAGAAATTCAGAAGTAATCACAACTTGGCTCGGCTGCATGCTTACAACAACTGATTATTCCTGCACTTTAAAAGAAGAATGCGCCTTTCTTAGGGACTCATCGCAGGAATTGCGCCCCCTGAGGGACCAACCATGCTCTCCAGTGCGAGAGGGTAAACCAATTCCCCGACACCCATATGGGTTAGCTCTCCAAGACGGGAGGATAAACTTTACACTCCGAATATCCAGACGTGGATGAGCCTGGCTGCCCTAGTATAACTAGATCCACGATGGCTTGCGCCGGGATTCCTAGAAGTAGCCACAATAGTCTTTTTCAAGGCTTAGCTAACTTAAGGATTTTTGGTCTTTGGCCTAATCCGTGGGGAACCGGGCCCTAGAGACGGAGGGGGCACATTATGCAGTACGCCCTACAGACGACTGCCCTGGAACCCTAAAGCTGCTACCGAATGCACTAAGGTAGCCTACGGATTCCGGAAGACTGCCTACGGCTTGCCCTTCGAGCAGTAAAGCCGCGCTAGACTTATACAACTGCACATTCTTGTGAAAGGTTAAACAAGCTAGCGTGCATATACGAAGTTTTATCCACTGCCGACATGCTACGTAGTCGATAAGCTTCACCTCTGCCAAGCGCGGAACAACCTACACCAAGTCCTAAAGTGTTGTGATACTTGCTACGCAACCTACGGAATTGAAGAAAGTCAAGGTTAACAGCCTAGTGGTTACGCGGACTTGTCTGCTTCTGTAAGTAAGGCATCCGGCTGCCAACCCTATGGCTAAAAACCACCAACACCTACAGCTGCATAGGCTACGCGAGCTTGTCTGCTTATAAAAAAGTAGCATGCCTGCCACTGGTCTATCAAGTCTAAAGGTTAAAGCGTGAACAAAAGAAGCGAAGATGAAGGAAAACATGTTTATAAACAACTAGCAAAGGCCGAATGAGTTCAAGAAAAACAAGAGCTACAAGGAAAAAACAAAGAAAATCCTAAAGGCTACGTAGAATACTACACTACATCAGCTTGGACATCCCACGACTACTCGATCGCTACACCTTCAGCAGCCGTAACGCTCTTAGCAGCGGCATCATCCGGCACTTCACCCCCGACTGCCCAGCCTGGGCACTAACTTCTCCAACTACTTCACCAATGGAAGCCTTAAAAGTAAAAGCAAGCAAGTCTTCCGGAGAAATAGAGAATGTCTTAAAACCTCAAGCCCATCATTCTCACCCTTCAGTTGCTCATTCTTCTTAAGCAGACTAACACGGACAAGCTGCAGCTCATCCATTACCTTCTTAGCATAAGCAGCGAAACGAAGCTCAGAAACTGCAAACTCAAGATCTTGAATCTGAGGTATGTAACATCCAATCTCCTTCTATGCACTTTTCATGCTTAACTTGGATCGCGTCAAGCCTAGTCTTCAAGTCAACGATCTTTTGGCGAATGGTCCCAAGCTGCAAAGGAGTGGGGGCAGACATATGAGACCCCTTCAAAGCAACGAGCTCATAATTTGCCATCTCTTTAGTAGCCTTGCTATATCTGCATCATAGCAAGTAGAGAAATCATTCTATAATTGGGTCGTATGCTTTGCAAACGAGCTTGGGCAAACACCTTTCTAACGCCATCAACAAACTTGGCACAAGCATCCATGTTTTCAAGAGATCTGGTTTCAAAAGCACATAGATCTCAGCAGCCTCCCCATAAGCAGGCTTAATGGATTTCTCACAGCTGCCTACGTGAGCAGTCTCCTCATTCCCAGCAGGCGAATTAGTCTCAACAACATAAGGAATGGGCCTTGACGCCACTTTAGCAGCAGAGTCAACCTTATCGCTCTTCATAATAGCAAACCTCTCCAAAGGCGCCACATGCTCAGATCTAGCAGCCTCATTTTTCGTCCCCTTGGAAAAAGTCAAGTCAATCACAAGCCTGAAGGCAGTCGGCGAACCCGTGCGAGCGAAAGAAGCCTTTGGTTTTTTCTCAGCCGGCATCTCTTGAGCAGGCAGGGAAATATCCCTTTTCCTCCTTCACTTGTAGCAAGATCCACAACAGTGATTGGACGAGCCAATGCATCTCCTGATCCTACTCACCTCCTCTTCGGGAGCAGCCCACATTTCTCTCAGCGAATAGGACTAAGCAGCCAACGACATTTATGGTACTCAGCAGGGGAGCTCAACCAGCATTCCAGCAGGCAGAAAGCCTGCATACCCAACATTCCAGCAACCCATGAGGCCCACAATTCCTCATTTCTTCAATCGCCAGCCTGCCCGAGTCAAGTCAAGAGCCCAAAGGACATGAGCCATGCGGCTCGCCTAGAACTGCGCCCCAGCGCCACAATCCGCGACCCCAGCGCACAAGCTGCCCTTGGCTCAAGCCAAGCCAAGTCTGCCAAGCAGTGTCTGCCACGACATCTCCTCGGCCCATGCGAGCCAACTCTGGCCCTGCAGCCGACGTACTGCATCACCCGACGCTGCCCCGCAATAGCACTAATCCAAGAGAAGGCAAAAGAATTAAATTTTTCTTACATCGGTGCGGCACGGAGAAGATGAAGAAATCAACGAAGACGGTCCTTTGCACGGGCAAGATTAGAAGATTGCTAGAGGAGGGGAACAAATATCCTCTAACTTTCTCTCTCTTGTGGGGTAGAATAAATTGCTCTCCAAAATGATTTAATAACCCACTTAAGGTGGACTTAAATAGGCTTTGGAGAGAAGTTTATTTCCCTTCCTAGAAGGGCCTAATTTCCAATTAAAGAGAGAATCAACATCAAAAAAGAAGCAATCCTACGTTTCCTAAAGCAAGAAGATCTCTACACCTGCTGCCCTTTCCTACGAGCAGCCCAACAGGTGTGGGGGCATTTGTGGAGCCAAAATATTCACTAGGCGACACGTGGATTTTGGACAAAATAGGACAAAAAATACCCTCGAGGCATACCGGTCTCCTACACACGAGCAATGGAGAATCATCCATCAACCAAGTCAGGAGTACCAAAATGGGTAACAATTCAAAACCTATTTCATATATTTTTTACCTCATTTTTTCCTTATTCAATTAGCCATTTATTTCAAAACATTCCATAACATCCTCAACCAATTAATATAATCAATATATTAAAGGCTATTTACATCACCAAATCACCCCAAAATCACACCAAGGTCCGGCCATTCCCATCCAAAAAGAGCCTATCATATTCTCTACCTTTTCCACCATTTTCCCTTTTAATTACCCTAATTAACTAGCCAATTAATTCCAAAAACCACCAAAACATTCATTTTATGTTTAAATAGCCAAATAAATTGGCTAATTAAACCTAAATTAAACCTAAAAACCCTAGCCACCTCCTAACTCTATAAATAGGCACCTATTCTCATCAAAAATCAATTCCAACACTTTAGCAAAATCCCAAAATTCTCTAAACACTATTTCTCTCTAAATTTAACTTTGGCATCGGAGGTTCTTCGGCCAAAGCCCCCCATTCATCGTGGGCGCGTGAGGCTCTTGGCCTTAACCTAAGGTGTTAATTGTTTTGTAGGTGCAAAATCGTCCAAGATCGAGGAGGAAGAAATTTGCATCCACAACTGTGTTTTCTTCTAAATATTGTTTTTCCCCCGGTTTATGATATGGATAACTATAGTTGGATAATAATGTGAGCTCAGCTATATTCTTCGAAGCAGTGACCAATGAGGAAGTGTGTAGAATTGTAGAAGTAAATAAAAGTCTCAATCTTTAAGTTGCTCTGTGCACAATGAAATTGAATTTTGATTTTGTGTTTCGGCATACCCTTACTAGAATTTTGTGATTTCGGAATTATAGAAGTTAGTGGCGATTCGAAACCAGTTAACTGGGATGAGAATTAGAGTGATTTGAAATCAGAGAACAAGGAATTGCAGGATATAATGGTAATGGTGAGGATAATATGATGATAACACAAGTTCACTATTTTGCAGAGATTTTTGAAGACTGATTTTTTTTTTTTCATTTTTGCATTTTTTAACAAGTGGTGTTCTGATTTTTCATTCCTTCTCATCACTTCTACAAGAGGTATGTTTCTGACCGAGAAAAATTTCCAGATCTTCTCTCCTCATTAAACTTTCCTTAGGATTGTGAAAAAGCAAAGGGGTTGATTGGAATATGGTTACCAGGAATTCCATGTGCTCAAAACCCAACTCGATTCCGTTGCTAAGAGTTTGCTGAGCAAGTCCCTGTACGGAAACATGGTTGGAGTCGTTGGTTCTATGTGGGTTCTGGGCAGCAGCTACTTTTTCTTTGTTTTTGGATTTGTAAGAAGATACATGCTCAGGTATGGTCAAGTTCGAGTCAATGATTTTCCCAGATGAAAAGTTTGATGGATTTGAACTGATTAATGGGTTTCTTTTTTTAGATTCCATTTCTGCAATTAAAGATTGCTTAAAGAAAAGTTGTATGTAATTGATTTTCTGCTATAATGTTTTGAATTTCTTATTTATATAGTTCTACATATTCTTTGTTTGCATTTATTTTACTTGATTGTATTAGTGGTTGCTTTTGTTTTCACCCAGCTACCAAAACTTTGCCTACACTATCCATCTCTGTTCTCCGCCGTCCATCACCGTAAGTCCTTTTTCTTTTTCCAGAATTTTCAATCCTTTTATGTTTCATTTTCTGAAATTTTCATGTTTCTATGCATATATATATATATATATGTGTATATATTGTTAGATATGGGACTGTAAGCAGTAGTGGATTAGTTGGTTCTACTTCTGCATTTCCTCTTCATTAAAATGTTTACTTACCTACTTTTAAGCGTCTTTGTTTATGTAAGACCGACAATGGGTTAGCGGTAACTCCTTTTTTACATCATATTCCATTCCATAATATTACACTATTGCATTTGGAATAGCAACATTTATTCGGTGTCACCTAGAAAGTTTGTTGATATATCATGTCATATGTTTTTTATAATCTATTTGACATTCCCGCGGCAACGCGCGGGCAACCGTTCTAGTATATATCTAAATGCTTTAGATGGTAGTCTTGTTGTGAAGGCATCTTTTCCTTTATATTAAAAGGTTTTTTTTATCCGCAGCATGTTTCTACAAATATAGATGCACCATTTTCCAAACATGGCCGTTGCTTTTGATTTTTAGTCTGCAAGGCAAGTTTTCTTGTAGGTAGCAGTACCACTATTCAAACATAGCTGTTGTTTTTAGCTTTTTGTCTACACGGCATGTTTCCTTGTAGATATCTGCACCATTTTTCAAACATAGCTGTTGCCTTAACCTTCCAATCGGGTACAGCTGCTGTGCAGCACCCGTGAGCCGATATAGTTTTGACCTTTGGACCTAGCTTCTTGGTAGTCAAGTATATATGACAATTATTGTTTTCAAAGCATTAGACTCTCTTTTTTTTTTTTTTGGGACTTTTGCCTTGATTTTTTTTACGTAAGTGAAAACCACCCATGCTTTAAACTCTCGTATACGAAGAGTTCAAACAAATACTAGCATATGTCAATTCAAACAAATGCTAATTCCATTAAAGGAAAAATATATAATTTTTGATGAGTTATGGTTGCATCTAATTTTGGGGATCAGATTGCCTACGTACCCTGTGAAGGGATCAAGCCAAACGTAGTTCATCCCTTGATTTCGGGAAAAATGGTTTTTACGGCTGTATCTAGTGATAAAACTAGACTACCTACGTACCTTGTAAAAGGATCAAGCCGAACGTAGTTCATCCCTTAATTTTGGGAATTATTTTTGTTTTTATATTTTTCATGTTTTTTTATGACTGCACCTAGCTTTAATGCTAGGCTGCCTACGTACCCTTTTTGAGGGATCAAGTCATACGTAGTTCAGAGGAAAGGATTTTATCTTGACTTGCTTCCTCTGCACTTGTTTCCCTCTCGGAGTTTGTTTCACATTGTTTATGCGTAGAACTTCTTCATGAGCTTTCCATTAATGCATGGGTATATGCATTTCCCATTGGCATTAGAGAGTTCGTAGGCACCTTTGGTGAAGACTTTGGTGACAACATAAGGTCCTTCCCATTTGGCTTCAAATTTTCCTTGCATCTTTTTGGTGATGACGCCGGGTCTTCGGACAGTTAAGACTAAATCTCCAACAGAGAACGATCTAAACTTAACCTTTTTGTTAAATGCACCTGCCACTTGAGCTTGATAGACTTCAAGTCTTTGTTGCATTGCAAGTCGTTTTTCATCAAGTGCTTCAAGTTCCGCTAGCCTGATTTTTACATTTTCTTCGGGATTTGTCAGTTGTGTGGCTACTCTTACGGAAGGTAGTTGAATTTCCAAAGGTAGCACAGCTTCTGATCCATACACCAGACTATATGGAGTACATCGGGTGGATGTACGGACGATGGTGCTATAGGCCTATAATGCTTCGGGAAGGCATTCATGCCAGTCTCTTTTATTCTTTGCCACCATCTTTTTCAGGATGTTGCACAACACTTTGTTGAAAGCTTCTGCTTGACCATTGGCAGTTGGGTTATAACTTGCGGAGAAGACTTGTTGAATGTTGTACTTTTTGCAAAGATTATCCATGGCCCTACACTTGAAGTAAAGAGCGTTGTCTGAGATTATTTTGGACGGGACTCCGTAGCAATAGATTATGTTTTTCTTTATGAATTTTGCAACATCTTCCGCTTTCACTTCTTTTAACGGTATTGCCTCAGCCCACTTTGAGAAATAGTCTGTGCCTGCTAGGATGTACTGATGTTGGAGGGACAATTTTGGGGTTATCATGCCTATCACATCTAAACCCCATGCATTGAATGGCCAAGACAAAATGGTCGGATGGAGGGGCAATGGATTTTGGTGCTTGAAGTCTCCATGTATTTGACATGCCCGACATGATTTCACATGTTTCATCGCATCTTGAACCATTGTAGGCCAGTAATACCCAAGCCTTTTCAATTGAGCTGCAAGCTTAGGTCCAAATTGATGGGATCCGCAAATACCGGCATGAGTTTCGGAGAGAGTATAGGCTGCTTCTTCTTTTGATAAACACCTTAGCAATATTCCGTCAAAAGACCTTTTGTATAGTGTGTCATTCAGATACACAAATCGGTTGGCCCTTCTTCGTACATCAACTCTTCCTCTGGGATCAGTTGGTAGTTTTCCATATTGAAGATAGTCAATCAAAGATTGCCGCCAATCAGAACATTCATCTACTTCTAGGACTGTAACCGCGTTGACTTCATGGTTTTCTTCATCCGCTCTAGTGTTGAAGGAAGTAAATGTCGTTCTCCCACTGTAATTTTAACTTCTGGTTCCTCAGGGAGAGTTAAAGATGCCGCTAGCTTTGCCAATGCATCGGCTTTGTTATTTTCAGACCTTGGAATGTGAGCAATGTTGATTTCTTGGAATTGTGACACCAAGTGTTTTGCTCTTTCATGATACAAGGTTAGATTTTCATTTTTCACAGCATATTGACCATTCATTTGCTTGATGATTAGTTGTGAATCACCATAAACTTGAAGGCAATCAACATGTAGTTCGAGTGCAATTTCAAGTCCAATGATGAGTGCCTCGTATTCTGCCACATTGTTTGAACGTAACTCCATGAGCGAAAATGAATATGGGATTAGACCTCCACATGGTGTGATGAACACAATACCTACCCACGTGCCTTTTTTCCTTGCCGCTCCGTCAAAGTAAAGTTGCCATTGAGAAACGTATGTCAAGAATACTTCTTCATCCGGCAAATCGCTTGGTAACTCCATGTTGTCGGAAACAGGATGAGCTGCTAAGAAATCAGCTAGTGCTTGTCCCTTTATAGCTTTTTGAGAGACATACTTGATTTCAAATTCCGATAGTAGCAAAGACCATTTTGCAAGACGACCGGATGGCACTGGTTTTGACATCAAGTATCTGAGCGGGTCCATTTTAGATATCAAAGTAATGCTGTGTGACAGTAAGTAATGTCGTAGTTTTTGCACAGCAAAAACTAAGGCTAAGCAAACCTTCTCAATAGGGGTGTAATTTTGCTCTGCCCCTACAACTGTTCGACTTAAATAGTAGAGCGCATTTTGTTTTCCTTCTTCATTGTTTTGTGCAAGCATTGCCCCTAGTGAGCGTTCAAGTGCTGTGATATACAAAATTAAAGGTTTCCCTTTAATTGGAGCCATCAACACCGGGGGTTTCAAAAGATATTCTTTAATGCTACTGATAGTGTTTTGACATGCATTATCCCATATGAAAGGCACATCCTTTTTCATCAGCCTTGTGAATGGTTGACATCTCCCAGATAAGTTTGAGATGAATCTCCTGATGTACACCAATCTTCCTTGTAGTCCTCGTAGCTCTCGTAGGTTTCGAGGAGGAGGCATTTCCATGATTGCCTTGATTTTTGAAAGGTCGACTTCAATTCCTCGGTACCTTACCACAAAGCCAAGAAATTTTCCAGATGTCACTCCAAATGCGCATTTTAAAGGATTCATCTTTAATTGATGTTTTCGGAATCTGTCAAAGACTTTCTTTAAGTCGTTCAAATGATGTTCCCTTTTTCTTGTTTTGATGACAAGATCGTCCACATAACATTCGATGGTGCTATGTAACGTATCACTGAAAATGACTGTCATGGCTCTTTGGTATGTGGCTCCTGCATTTTTTTAGTCCAAACGGCATTACAGTGTAGCAGTAGATTCCTTTCGGAGTATGGAATGTTGTAAGTTCTTCATCTTCAGGTGCCATTTTAATTTGATTGTACCCTGAGAATCCATCCATGAAAGATAGAGCCTCAAAACCAGTTGTGGCGTCTACCAATAATTCAGTTATTGGAAGCGGGAACTCGTCTTTTGGACATGCGTCATTAAGATCTCTGAAATTTATGCAGACACGAATTTGTCCATTTTTCTTCTTTACCGGTATGATACTGGCGAGCCATGTAGGGTACTGAACTTCTCTGATAAACCCAACGTCTATCAGTTTGTCAATTTCAACCTTAATTTGTACTTCAAGCTCAGGTCGAAAACGTCGTAGTGCCTGTTTAACATAACGCCTTTCTTTTAATACAGCCAATCTATGAACTGCCACCTTAGTGTCTAGACCAGGCATATCTTGATAG